ATATATAGAGAGTCTTTGCATCTACTTAGACACCCTAAGATGAGCCATCGTACCACTGTAAAGCAACGTGCTTTCGGGATTCTACTATTAAATATAGAGTGTAAATGGCATTGTATTTTCATACTTTTGCTCAGTGATCCATCGTTTGAGATCAGTCACGATGAGCTGGCTCTCGTAGCGAAGCTTGCAGTTTTCTGAACATGACGCCGCCAGTTTGGACTGGAGCGTGTCCACCTGCAATAAAGAGCAAGGACAACAACGCTTTAGTGTCCCCGCAGGGGATTTGAACCCCCGCGCCCCCGCCCCATGAGCTTAATGTTACAGATCGCATGGCAGCCCGTTATACTGTCGCTTAAATGCCAACAACATAAAATGCATAAAAATATAGTTGAAAAAAAAAAAAAAAAAAGAAGGCAGATGAGAGAAGTGCATGCTCCAAACAAGAGCGAAATATTTGGAGATCGGGTAATAGTGACAAATGACACAGGTGGCAATTGCTGACACACATAGGAACAGCAGGTTAAGGCATTAGGCGGTGCTTAAGGAGGAAAAGCGCTGGATGGTGTGTGGGGTTAACAGGGATGGGATGGCAGAACTGCTGACTTTCTCATTTTTATCAATCGGGACCTTTTGGGCGCCTAAACTCCGGGGACACGTTGCTATTATCGCTCTGGAAACACCTTGATATGTCACACGTTCTTCAGACTTGCCAACAGGAAAAAAACGTCATTGAAACATCCGTAGAGTACTGCCCGGACAGACATCATGCCGATAATATGAAAAGTGAAAAAAATGCAGATGAATTTTTGGAGTCACATGAAAGCGCCACATAGAAAGTCATTTGCAGAAATGATTCTTTGCAAGTAAACAGCCTGCCAGAAGATTCAACATTGGGTTTGGTACCTCCTGAAGCACGCAACGCCACAGAACTCCCAAGTCCACAAGCAAAGTACAGCTAGACTGGTTGGGCGAACTCCCATGCACCCCTCGAGGACCCTGGCAACGGCGTGTGGCTGGTCCACTGTTCCGCGAAAACCACGCTGCCCCTCCTGAATCTGAGAATCGACTTCCCGACGGACCCTCTTCTCCAGCACCCCTGAATAGACCTTACCATAGAGGCTGAAGAGTGCGATCCCCCTTTTGTCTGAAAACAAAATCTTTAAACTAGCTAATTACACTGTACATTTTGTGGAGATGCTTACCCCAAACTCCCCAAAGCAAAAAAAAAAAAAAAAACACACCAAAAAAACATAAAACAGCAACACCCACACTTGCAAAGCACTGTGGCAAAAACACATGCGTGTGCACACAAAAAAAAAAAAAGTAGACATTCACGTTGCAAGGGCAGACATAGCGCTGCAACGTGCTGTAATGACAGCAATTACTGTGGTCTCACATTAAGACCTCCCTCCTCCCGACTGTCTGACTAAGTCGGCTGATGCTGGGATGTAAATCGTGGCGGCAGTTTGATGTTGTGATGAGGACTAAATTATACACAGCATCACTCTGTTTCCACCATTGTCAAGGGAGGCGGCGAGATGATGCGCAATTGTGTGCGAGAAGGGAGGGAGCGGTAAAAAGCGGCACAAGGAGGTGCGATTGCAGGCGGCGGTGGGTGGAGGGACGCAAATCTGCTTAACATTTAGATTGCTTTTGTTGCACAAATATTTTAGCAGATGATGGGGGCTAAAAGGGGCACCCAAATGCATTTGGGACACTTTGACAAGCAAGTCTGGTGATGCCGCTGCTCCTCTCGGTTTTGTTATGGCTAAAAATAGGAGTTGAGTGGTCGAGGATTTGGACTCTACGGTGACTATTTATCATTCGGAATCTGACTGATGCCCGGGGCGTGCCTTTGACCGAAAAGAGATGGATTTCTTTTTGTTGGCTCAAACGATGCTTTATTGGACTCGCTATGATAAGAGCGAAATCCCCAAAGTCGAACGGCGTGGTGGCAGAATTTGGTGTTTGAACGCAATTTTCTCGAAAACCGTATCAAGAAAATTGAAAATTCTTCAAGATGAATTCCATACATATTGCTGTCTTGAGGTGACGTCACACTTTCGGGTTTGTCGCTCGTCGGGATCTCACGTGGGGAAAACGATGACTTTGTAAACTTACGAAATAGAAATGATTTTTTTCATGCATTTTGTTGAGTGACTTGTGACATCAAAATATTTCGTTCGGGATCTTCTAAAACGACTTCACTCTTGACCCATTAGAGGACAAACCGAGCAAAACAAAAGAACCTTTTTAGCACGGAACTGAGGACACGCGTAAAAAGTGATATGATTGCGGTTGCGGTAACCATCGGAGACGAAGACGAGCCGTTGGTCTTTTCAACTCATCGCTCCTCTGAGCACATCCTTTCATCAAATTAATGAACACATTTATTGTTAAACACATTTTTATAAAACATTAATTCATTCTGTCTAATTAAAAGACCCAACAGGCCTGACATCACTTCGATATGCATACTTATCACTCACGGGGTCTGAATTAAAGATCTACTGGCGTGCGCTGCATGTGTGTGTGTGTGTGTGTGTGTGTGTGTGTGTGTGTGTGTGTGTTTGCACACTTATATGCGCATAGGATGGCGAGCAGAGAATGAGGCTTCCAAAGCAGGTCTCCCCACTCCAGGCTTAATGGTGATAATCATGGCATGACCCAACATTAAGTCTGCGAGTGCGTGTATTTGTGCGTGCCCTACTCTCACTAATGGCGACGATGATGACATGTTCTCCATTAGACTCGTCAGTGGACCACAGCAGAGCTAGCATATTAATGATGCTGATGATGGCTTCTTTAATTATTGTCGTCTGCCGCCGCCGCCGCCGCTGTGTGGCCCCGCTCCTTTTCCCGGACCTTTCATCACACACTCCCCTGTGCGCCTTTCCCAGCTTGTTTATCGGCTGGCCACCATTACTGAGGCTCCCTGGCGACTCGAGACCCGCCCGCTGGGATGCAACTTCACCGGGGTTCGGGAGAAGTTTGTCCCGCAGCAAAACGGCTGCAAAGGGACATTTGAACGGGATCTAGAAACGGGCCCGGGTACAATTGAATTCAATGATACTGTTCGTTTCTAGCTCAAATCTCAAGAATCCAATAACTGTTGAACGAAGCAACAGTTATTGACACGGGTGAATCCTCCCGACCATTTCCCATTGACTTTTACTTGCGTAGACCGACAGACATACGGTTTCACTGATGGAGAATATTTTAAGGATGATGAGAGGTGCTCGGAGTGGGCATAAAGAGGACGTGCAAAAGAGTAAAACAGTAAATCCATGGTAAGTGGTCAAAGTTTGTGAACATGGTGCGTATTTTGGAAAATTATGCTTCATGGAGAAATGGTGAAAAAGGATATCACTATTCAAGGTTAACCGTTACAAACTCCATTTCAACTGCAAGCATCACATTAAAAGAAGAGCCTTTTGATCCTTCCCAACAGCAGTTACCCGTTGAAAGTGATCTAAATTGGCTTTTATGAGCAACAAAATGGAAACGGCTCCTTAAATGAATGAAATTGTAACCTTCCACGTGAAAAAAAAACTCAGACACTTTTGCCTTGATGCTGGCCTTCAGATCGTTTGCGTTTCAGTCTTTCCGTTCCCTCGCCTTCCTCTTGGCAATGCCGCATATTGTTTCAATGGGGTTCAAGTCAAGTGAGTTTGCTTGAAAATAAAGTACTCTCAACGTTACGGTTATTATGACTTCAAGATGGCACCGCGAGAGTGGCTGCCTTTAGGAGTAGCTCCTAGACTTTTTGTTCTTCTACTTTCTTCCTTTCATAACTTTGTTGTCGTAAATTGGGAATTTCTCCTATGTGAGACGAACAAAGGCTTTCTTATTCTTATTCTTATTATTAAAGCAGGTATTGATAGATTTGGCTTTGTGGTCAGGGGCCAAAACCTGCTGGAGAATAAAATCGTTGTCTCCAAAAAGCCTGTTGGCTGCAGGGAGCAGAGGTCGGAGGGGTTCGATTTTAGGCTCATGGCTCAGTTTAAGAGGGTATGATGCAATGAGACTTGTGTCATTTGACATCCATATCGATGAACTTGTCAGTAGCCTAGAAGTGGCTTGCGCGTCAAAGATACTGCATCTCTCTTTTGGGCAGTTCCACCGTATCTCAACATGAATTCATGGTCCAGTGTCACAACAATCATGATGTGAAATTCAACGTTGCATGGCAGTCCACGATGTAGCGGAGAGAGGGCAACATTTATATTCAGACCCAACAACAGCCACCTTAAGCTATTAAAAAGTAGCCTTAACTATTGGGAGAAAAGTGTGAGAAGATTGAAAAGGGGAAGGCTTTTCAAAAGTTTTGCACGAGTCAAAGTGGAGGCACAAACTCCATTATCCAGTAGTCCACCACACAAAAACAGTCTATTAAAGCATTTCGCGTGCGCATCGCATATACGCTTGGCTGCTTTTTTTTTTTTTTTTCTTCTTAAATCACTGTGCTTCTTCCCCGTCGCTTCCCCAGCATGATTAAAAGTCAAATTTTACAGAGACACCAATGTCACTGGTCACATCAATGATTTCAAAGCAGTTAAGACATGTTTACCAACGTTTTGCCATCTGAAATCATTTCGGTGAATTCTCATTAAGACTGCCCCCCCCCTCCAAAAAAAAAAAAAAGTTGAGGTGCCCACAACTAATGACATGTTTGTGGGTGGCTGATTGAGGAGAGAAATTGCAATTGCTAATGCGTTTCGGGAAGCGGGAGGCACACAATGTACATGTTTACATGGCTTGTATTTAAAATGGAACCATGCGGAGGGCCAGCATCGTGCGTCTCTGTGCATTTGGAGAGTGCCGCTCTGATGAACTGATACCATGCACGTTTGGCTAATAGACAAAAACAGTCTGCTCACGCGCACCCACGCTCACATATACACACACACACGGAGAGAAAATACTTGGTACCCTTTGGTTTAAGAAAGGTAACAAGACAAAGCAAACAAAGCTTCTGGGAAAATGTCCTTTGAACAGATGAGACAATTGACTTTAGCCTTCCTTTGCCTGTAGCGCCATGTTTGACCAAAAAAAAAAAAAAAAAAAAGTATACAAAGAACAATGCTTCTACTGTGAATGATGGAGAAAGCTCGTTTCTGTTCTGGGGCTGCTCGCTAAATCCGCCATGTTTCGAATCTGTGAAGGGTACAGCGAGATCACAAGACGACCGAGTCACTTTGGAGCGAAATGTGCTGCCAAGTGTGAGAACGCTTGGTCACAGTCACACAAAAACAAGGCGGTACGGTACGTAAGTGGCCTTCCTGCGATCGCAATCCCGTGGAAGGAGCTGAAAGATGAAGTCTCAAGAAGGCCCCCTTCAAACCCGAGACCCCTCCTCGAGAGGAGCGGACCACAATAACTGCTGACAGATGTACCACTCTCATTGAAAGTTGGAGCAATTGTTTGATTGCAGTGATTACCTGAAAATTGAGCAACAACATATTCAATCGGACCGTATATTTTTTTTTCCTCCTAGCAATCCTCATTATTTATTTATTTTTAAGAAATAGACGTATACATTTATATAATTCTGTTGACCACGAAAAAGCAATGCCTGAATGCTCTGATCCTATGTGACCATTTTGTGTGCTTTTTTTCTTTGTTGATCGCAATGTTACGAAGCATTTTGTCTATGTATGTAATTGAAATTTGCACACAAACACACACACACGCGGACAGAGCGATCTGCAGTTCAGCGACTGTACACCGAGGCAATTTGTAATATATATTTCCTCTATAAGCCACCTTTGATTGTACTTATTTATTTATTTTTCCCACGGGCGGACAATTCATCTGATCAAAGTCAATAAAAAAAAGATGGGGAGCCTAATGAAGGAGTCATATTCTCTGCAGCCATCATGAGGGCGTTTAAACACTGCTTTTCCAAATGCACATTCGGCAAAAAAAGCTCAGCTGCTGTTGAGATGATGAAAGGCAGAGTGGATGCACAAGGGGAGATAAAGGGGGCCGTGTTTGAGTGCAGGTGCGGCCATCAAACCCACAAATACATAAAACACAATCATGGCTCACTCTCTCTCTATCAGACGTGCGCACACACGCGCGCGTGCGTGTGTGCAATTGACCTATACTTGCAGCAGTCTTAAAAATCAAGTAGTATGAGATCGATTAAGAACATCAATACAATGATTTTCTAAAAAAACTAAACAAAACAACAAAAACATGGCTTTCATTATTTGTTGAGCACACTACGAATTACTTGTATAGAATTCCAGTGGAATCAAACATTGTCTAATGTCTGACAAGGGGCCAGACTTCAGTTCAACATCGGCACCAAAGTCTGTGTTGCCACTGCAGCCATCCAAGCAGCGTATCCTCACTTGGGTCCTGACAGCGTCAAGAGAAAACGAAACATCCATAGAATCAGATATCCGGGGGCCAAATATGGCCTGTGCCCCATCTCTGACGGGACCTCGCAAATGTGCATGAAGCCAAAATATGAACTGGTTACTGTATTTATTTCGCAAGCAATGCTTTTTATTTTGATGTGCATGCGAGTAAGAGCGACGACTTGAGTTTTTCGCGTTGCCGACTTAGCGAAGGCAGTCATTGGACTCCTCGAGCAACTATTAAAAAAAAAAAAAAACCACATATGCCACATCTACACAACGATAGCGTCTTATAAAGCTTTTAATAGATGCATAAAATGAACATGGCTCTTGTTAGTGTGGCCCTTGACAACCGATCCAGTTTCTCACACGGCCCCTTTGGAAAATTAAAAATTAATTAAACAAGTTAGTCTTTATGGAAACCAATAGGGAGAAGAGTCAGTACTGTTCAAGTCCATGATGTGCAAAGTTGAATTTTGTATCACTTCTAGATTAATGTTTAATTCTCTGTTGTTGCTGCCCAATGATGACACTCGTATGGTTGCTTGTATGTACTGTGTATTGGCCACTTCGGGGTTGTTTCATGTGTTAAAGGGGACACGTGCAAATTTTACTTCTGAATCACTTGCACACAAAGGAAAGATGACATTTTCTGGAATGCCGGCCAACCCATCAAGTAGGAAACGAGGCAATAAGTTACCTCCTTTCATCAATGTTCTGAATTTTATGAAATTGTGATGTAGTATCGTGGCCAAGTTACATAACGCCGGGCAGCTAATGCCGGGCAAAGGTCTGCAAGGATCAAGCGACGGCCAGAGTCCGACCACTGGACAACAGAGAAGCGCTAGCAAGCCAAAAACCATACAGAACGGGAATGCAAGAACAGAGCAGCATCAGCGTACGGCATCATCTGATTACAGGCAACATTAGACGTCAGCGGAGTATCAAATCTTATTTTGTCGGGTGCAAATGCGTTACTGTCGATGTTTTGTAAGAAGTACTCTTCATGCTAGAAGCAAGTAAAGAGGACGGCCTGCCTGGATACTGATGATGATGTCGATGACACATTATCGTCCATGGGAAGACAGAGGGGAAGTCAAGCTATGTAGATTGCATTATTCACAAGGGTAGAGTTTACAGAAAGGTGAAAGTGAGAGAAGGGGGGAAAAAAAAGACCAAGAAAAAAAAATTCAGATATGTAAGCAAATGCAAAATCCAAATGCCAGATAGCAGCGGGGTTCACGGCAGCTTAAGACAGAATTGGAAGTTTGTCGAATCTAAATGAACATCGCTTCACCCGTCCCGGCGTTGCCCTTAATTATCTATTCTGCCTTTGTACAACAGCAGCTCAGCTTTGACAACTGCTCTCCCGCCGAGATTGTTCCAGCTCCCAGTCAGAACATGAGGGAATATTACAGCCAGAATTAACTCTCCAAATCACCCCATCCCTCCTTTGGACAAGATAATCCGGGCTCTACGACTGAATAGAGGCCACTAATCACCCAAAAGGTAGCAGAGGAGAGAGGAAGGAATGGAGGTGAGGTGAGTGAGACCTTGCGTTAAAAGGTGAGGAAGGAGTCCAAAATATACAATATTCAAGAAAGTAGAAAAGTCGACACCCCTTGCCATGAGTGTTATTTTGTTGTCAATGAGCACCTTTGAGTTTGACGCCTTCATCTGTGCGCATCGATGCCATTTTGTTTGAACGTACCTGGGCTCGCGCGTGCTTTTTCTCTGTCTCGGCCTGGTGAAGGGTCCTCTTGAGTTCTGCAACCTCCACTTGCAGTCTCCCATCTGCGTCACTACGCGCGGCCCGGTGATCAGAATCACATGATGACATTCCATGCATGACCTGATACACTCATGGCACACTTAAATGAGAGAAGACTTTTTGTCATGTCACTTCTTCAAAATTCATTCGTGTCAAGTTTTAAAGAATATAATGTGTACTTTAAAGACACGATCAAGTTGGAGTGAATACATTCTTGGGCGCAATGCAAAAATATGTGTTTATCTATGTGTGCGTGTGTGTGTGCGTGTGTCTGTGTGTGTGTGTGTGTGTGTGTGTGTGTGTGTGTGTTTGTGTGTGTGTGTGTGTGCGTGCGTGTGTGTGTGTACATGAAGAAAAGGACATCGTGTGTGTTTGTGTGTGTGCGTGCGTGTGTGTGTGTGTGTGTGTGTCAGTCGGGCTAAGAGAATGTGAAGGCGATCAATACGAAGGGGTCCATTCCTGCCACACTAGTGTGCGCCCACTGTCTCAATGTGAGTCAGTCTGTGTGTGTGTGTGTGTGTGTGTGTGTGTGTTCGTCAGCTGCCTACAGTAAGATCAATACAACATCCCAACACGTGTACACAAACGTATGCACACCAAAACAAACCCCCCCACAATCGTCATCCAAAGCCTAAAGCACATCTCTCTATCTCTGAGCAAAAACAGCTTTGGGACAGTGACCTGAAGTCACTTGAAAGGTTTTTCGGTATGTTTCTACATGGCAAAATGTTTGTGCGTGATTAGCAGCATAAAGCGGTGGTAAAAGCAGCAGCAGAGCAGCCACAGAGGGGGGAAAAAAACAAAAAAAAAAGCATACGGCTGATAGATTGGTCCATGGAGAAAACATATGACAGGAAGAAGAGAGCAAAGCAAGAAGGGAAAGGAGACGGAGGCATCCCGTGGAGAAAGGAGGGGATTTCCCACTGCACACATGGAAGCCATTAACATTGGTTGTTGTTGCTTTAAAAAGACGAAAAAGAAAAAAAAAAACCTTTCATGTCTTTGCAGTGATTAGATAATACCGAGTTAACTGTAAACAGCGCCATTCTCCAAATGTAATATGCAGACGCAGCGATTGTTTCACCGTGTGGCACCGAAAATGGCTGGGAACTTAATAATTCACAATGAAAACCTAGAAAGGTTGCACGCCGACTTTTAAATTGTCTGGAAAAAAAATACAAAAATCCAAAAAGTTCCACAAGGTTCTCTTGCACTCTTGTTGCAATGAGGTCACGTCGAAGCCAAAGCCACAACCACGACGCCGCATCTACACACACACACACGCGCGGGCGGGCGGGCGCACATACACACGCGTGCACACGATTCCTCTTTTGCTGATGTCATCGCCACAACTCTTAGCGGCGCGTCGGGGTCAACTCGAGGGCCTCACCTCTGAACTCTGTGCACTCACATCTGCGCGGCCAACAAGTTCAAATCCACGGATGATATCGTCTGTCGCTTGCCATGGCGCTATTCTGACCTTTGACAGTGAAATACAGTACGTGCATGTTGGACCATTTTGTTTAGCGAAGACTCTGCACTGTCCGCCGCATATGCGTTTTTACCGCCCGCTGTGTGCCACGCATCATGAACTCGATGTTTTGGATGAACGAGCGAGCACTCGGGGCCAATAGGAAAGGAAAGGAAGATTCGCCATCCCTACCGTCTGTCGTCTTGCTCTTGCGCCTCCTCAGTCGGACACGCCGCCATGCGCTTGGCCTCCTTTGAACGGGCTGCCAACACCTCCACTGAGCAGGTACGGAGCAAGAAGAGACATTAAAAGTGGGATAAGGTACACTTTAGGATGCATTACAAAACGGCCATGTGGTTAAGATGACATATGAAGTACTTTTTTTTTTTTTAAATTAAAAGGGAATGACCAAATAATGCGAAGGCCTTTTTGAACCAGACAAAAGAAGCAATCTCCTGCTTTGTCAATAGATGGCACTCTTTATCCTGACCACACGATTCGTGCTCACGCAGTCCTACTGCAGCCCTTCAATCATTTTCCTTTTTGGGCTCCATCCTCAGTCTACATGCAATAAACCCCCATTGTCCCACACTTAGCGGTGCAGCACACCCCGAGTGACTACATAATAAACCACCGGTCAGCTTCCTTGGCTTGCTCGCCTTTGCTTTGCAAGGCCTTTTCAGTTCGAGCTGAAATTTCCTTCCTTACACCTCTCAATTTTTTTTTTGTGTGCGTGTGTTTGGTATAGGGTGTTTTGTGAGTCAATGTTCCCTCCTCGGTCTTTAAAACCTTTTCACTAAATTCAGTATTCACTGAACACAACATAAACTGTCAGCCGTCAGTGTCCAAGGCTGCTGAATATTGAGGAGAAGTGAGCGCTTTATACGCAGCGGCGTGCGGGTGTGTGTGCTGAATAATTACAGGCCGGACCTCGAATTGGTGAAAATGCGCGTGGATTGGAGTATTTGGAAAAGAGCTATTGGTGTGATGCTTTTAGTGGCCGGCGTGATGTTGCGGTATTGAAACCACATAGCAAGAAAGGTATTCACCTTTCTGAACAGAATAAGTTTAATTTGTGGTTTTAAAGATTTTAAACCATCACATTTGGATTGCTGGAGAAACGGAAGCATTGATAAGAAATATTTCATTGCGAATGCTTCACAAATCCATCTTCTAATGTGTGCGCACGTGCGCTTCACGGACGAGTTGGGCTCAAGGTGAACGTTTGCCTTGGGTCTCAATGATCAATAAAGCAGAGAAGTGAATGCTTGAGATGGAGGGTTGGAGGGGTTACCTCAGCGAAACCCACTCGGAGGCTGTGCACAGAGCAATTAGCAGCAAAGACCGCTCCGTCACAAAATCACTCTCACCGGTACTTTGTGCACTAAAGGCCAAAGCCAATCTCTTCCGGTTCCTGTTCTGTGCAGATTTGGAATGAAAAGGTAAAATGAAAGGAAACGGAACGAATCAATTCCCAACAAAAAATGTTCCCATCAGAAAGGCAAAGCTTGATGCGAATTTTTCGCCACATTCATTGTGAGAACTTTGAAGAGCAAACAAATGCGAAGAGGGAGGACACTGTAGCCTAAAAGTGTTTGCGAGGTCGGCTACTTCACAAACTGGGCTCATTTGCCGCGGTACGTTCTGTTCTTTTAATATTCTTGTCGCCTTATCCGTATTGAACTGGGCCGCCGTGGACCGAGTGTTCTGCTGTTGACAGAAAAATGACTGCCATGTCGCAAAAACTTCACCGCGTTATGGTGGTCATCACACCCACTCTGGATGGTAAAAAAAAAAAAAAAAAAAAACGTTAAACAAACGTCGAGCTAAATAATTCCTAAAATCTTCGCTGTGATCAGTGTGGCCAACTCCTCAGGAAGGAAAGTAGCTATTGCCTGTTCTCAAGGTTGCTACAAGACGCTTTTTTTCTCTAGTTTTCTTAAGATTGGTTTGGTCGCAATGAAACATGAACAACCTTATTTTATTTTATTTTTTTTTTAGTACATTCGTGTTATGTTATGACCTAACCCCCCTCCCCGCCGTCCCCCTCCCCTCATCTAAGATCTTGGCTCTCCTTACACTCTCACTTTCTTGACCCTTTTATACTGACTTCACATTTTTGAAGTACAACGCGAGTCCATTGCAGAACTCACTCCGCCCTTCCTTCCGCGCGAGCTTCAAAGCCAGTCATGTGGCATCGCAGATCGGCGGTCAGATGACCAAACGCGCTGAGCTAACCTTCGACACGACTGGGATGAAAAGCCAGCTGACCGAGAATCAGTGTTTGGGCAGGGCCGGCCGAGCCTTCCTGAAAGATTCCGACGGCTTCCTGGCAGCTTTCTTTGGCTTTGTTGCGGTATTCGTAGCGGGCTAAGGTGCTCCCGCGAGATGGCCCAAAGCCTCCCAAGACTCTTTCGCTCGCTCCGTTTCAGAAGTTTCACGGACTTGCAACACTGCTGTTGGGTATAAGCCAATAGGTGTCTTTGCACACGCGGTTCTGCGCACAAATACACCACCAGGTAAAGAGCGCACAACGCTCACAAAGACAAACAACACAAGACACGTATAGGATCTAAAACTCCAGCATCAACACAAGCATCCGCCCCAACAAACTCCCCTCTTGCACTCTCCTCGCCGCTTTATTTACAATCCTCTGGCAGCGGTACAAGGGCCCGGGGCTATAACACACGGCACCTAATGCTCAAACTGCCAGGTAATCTCATGTCTGACATCCCCCTTTGATAGAAACTGATCAATAGACTCTTGTAAAGGAGTCATTTTCTCTGATGTTTCTACCAACCACTTCTCTCTATCCAGCTCTTTTCCCCGTCTCTCTCTCCGACTCTCCCCCCATTTTGCTTCTCCATTTTATTAGCTCTACATTTATAATTCATATTTCTGCCAGGCTCCGGCACAAAACGGGGTGGCCTCTTTGTGTAATAAAGAACAATGGCGGTGAAACGATGGGGAGAAATTCCAGTGTTTGCTGCCGGTTCCGGTGAACAACGGTTTTGGGGATCGATAGAGTGTGAAATGGGATTAGAGCTAGTAATAGAGGTGAATTGAAGGAGAGAGAGAGGCCTGCGCACATGTGCGCCTGGGGATCGGGATCAGAGGGAAGCGCGCGCATACTTACACATGTATACTGTCACATGGGCGGCGCCTGCACACATATGCGCTCCATCATCACTTCATCATCTTTAGGCAAATACGCGTCGGCGGCACACGCATGGGCGGGCGCTAATATTACACTTCTCTTGGAGTGAAAGGGTGGAAATACAGTCTGGAGCTTTTGTTGTCGTTTATACTGTTCTTGCATTTGATAGCGTCAAACATTTATTTCACACACACAGCAAAACTAAGGATAAGAAGAAATGCCACGGCGGGCAGCACGGTGGGCAAGTTCGCCTCACAGCGCAGAGGTGCGGGGTTCGATTCCGGCTCCGGCCTTCTTCCCGTGTGGCGTTGGCATGTTTTCCCCGTGCCTGCCTGGGTTTTCTCAAAAGGTGTTTTGTTCACAACAGACATTCCTCCAGCTTCCTCTTCAACCCAGTTTATTCAGAGCAGGAAAACAATGAACCGCATTTTGTTCCAATAATCCATATTTATTCTTCTAGCATCCTAACAAAACGGCCCTATATTGCTCGACTGCGTCTACGGAGAATAAAAGCAGAATAATATGCGGTTTTGTGTTGAGCAAAGAGTCTAGGCCATGCTTTTTGATCACAGACAAAGGCCAAGCCACACAGCGTTGTCTTTCTGTCTCCATCTTGTTAATGAGCAATGTTCGGCTAGCGAGCCTGCCGCCACAGACAGAGACCTCAGATTCATCTCTCAGCGCACAATAGGTGATTGTGAGGATGTGTGTGTTTGTACCTCTGAGAGCAAGTGTGCATGTGCTAATTAAAGCAGTGGGAGACGGGGGGGAGTGGGGAGGGCAGGCTGTTATTTTTCGTGCATGTGCGCGCACCAAAAAAGACGTTTGCCTGGCATGACCGAAAATGTGTACGTTAATTCTTAATGAGACATTTCTGTGCCCGGAGAAAAACCCAGACGTCGCCATTCCTGCCATGACACGCGACTACAAAGGCCATTGCAATGCATGCGCACACGCGCACATCATTACCATGCGCTAAAGAAGCCATTAAGTAAAACCTCTCGCCACAGTGTGCGCGTGTGCGTGCGTGGGTGTGTGTGTTAGTGGCTTTCCGTGCAGACAGCTTGCAACCAAATCTCACGGTTGTAGCCCTGCCGGCTAATTTGAAATAAGCAATGGAGGGAGCAAGCAGCAGGGAGGTTCAGCAGCACAAAGCAGAACAACACCATGTGGTTTCCTATGCGTGCAGGGGGATTCTGATGGGCCACGAGGCCCCAAATTTCAGCGGGGGTGGGCAGAAATCACATGAACTTAGCCTTTTTCCACCGAGACCTTATTTGGAAGAGCAAAAACACCAAAAGAAAATTCCGATTCAACACGTGTCAACCAAGGGTGTGCCTAATTAGGTGGCCAGTGACTTTATACTTTATCTCGCGGCATATATTTTGATACGCACACGAAGAAATATGAGGCTACATTTGATGCACACAACCTCCTGACAAAAGGCAGGTGAAAATATTTGACTATTATACAATATATTCAATGATGCGGAGGGAAATGGCAGAGCGACGTCAATATGTAGCCGGCGTGTGCTTACGAGTGTATTGAATTAATTTCATCTATGTAAAAGTAAGTTTGTGGGAAGGAAGCCATGCTTTGTTGCATTTGCTAACGAGTTCAAGTGTGTATTTTTTTTTTCCCATCAGGCATTCTTTGAAACAATAGGCAATTAAAACTGTATCTGCTTGTATTGAATCCCATGTTTTGTATAAATATATTGACTCTATATAGCGTTCTGTTCTCTGTATGTAAATGATTAATTTGATTTGCTGTTTTGTTTTTTTTCTTGACGGTCTAATTTGTGTACGAGCTTGTTGTAGTCGTGTCGAGGACAGTGTGCGTGAGGGTTCCAGTAATGGGTCTGAAAAGCTTTTCAGAAGTCTGCATCTTGTTCTGGTTCTGCACCACTATAGGTTCTACTGATGAAATCGCGCATTGTCCAGTCGATTGACCAAAAGCAAAGCCTTTTCTTCAAGATTTGAATTTATGCTTCCATCACAAATCTTGGAGACGACAATGCGGTGCACTTGATGACGTCACTTGCCCGAGTGTGGCTGGTTCAGAATGCTGCGACGCGGCTTTTAACTGGCACAAAAACACACACAAAAAAACCTCAGACTCGCCGCCTCACTTCCTGTTTAAAATGCTTATTGCCGTCTTATATTTTTTCATTGTTGCAACAGTTATTTTTGTTGTTTTTAATAATTAATTCCACGGCTGTGTGCAGCACTTTGGTTTACTGTATTGTTTTAAAAGTGCCCTACAAATCAAAGTCGGATTGGAGTGATCTTGTCCAACAGCAAAGGCACACTGAGAAGCATTGTGTAGGTCAACAGTGTTAAGGGTACAGTAGTCCTACATCCACTGCTGAATAGCAAAACGCGTGTACACACACACACACACACACACACACACACACACACACACACACACACACACCCGGTGGAAAAACATCATAGAGTGGCATTGTGACACTGCTACCTGTTGTCCGATGTTTGCGGCGTAGCGCCTCAAGCTCTTGACTCAGCTGCCTGACTTCAGTGCTCAGACTCGGGTTCGCTCTGTGAGGGCCCTTCAGCTTCTGGGAAGAGATATATTTCAGTCATATTTCCCGAGTTTAATGCCTTCATTGAAAAGTTTGAATAAGTTTATATTTTATCATAAATAAGTTTGAGTTTTTGGTTTTTTTTTTGAGAGTAAGACCTCATTTTTTTGTGGCCCGTTTCGCCTTTCACTAATGTAAGCGCATCGGTTGTTTATAGTAGATCTTTGACGTATTTCGATATTTCAATAGGATGGCAGAGTTGCATTGAATAATGAACCACTCAAAGAGCATTTTAATCTCAGACATACAAGTAATTCTCCCCCATTAAGGGAGACTAAGGCACATTTTTACTGACAGATTTATTTTTCTTTTGGAGGGGGGCTGGGGGGCTGATTTGTTGTTTTCCTGGAGTCTAAGAATGCGCAGAAAGCTAGATTTCGTGTCGTATTCCGACGAAACCTTTCCTATTTAAAAATGTGCATGTTCATGCTCATGATAAGACGATAGGTGATTTCCTGCACAGATATTCCTGGACACTTGAAAGTGTCTTCCTTTTACTCACTCCTGATAGAGATCAGGTTCTCAAGTGCGGTACTTGTTCAGTTGAACCGTCTACTTTGGACGGATTCATCTAAGAGGCTGTCGTATGATTTTCAAATTACTTTTTTGTTTCCTTCATATACAGCAGGTGTATATTTTTGACTTTCCATCGAACTGATCGACTGCATTGAAATCGATTGATATTTAGCATTTCATGCAAAATAGCTGATCAACTGTCATGTCATAATTGGCGCAATCTGACAATGGCGTCATTGATCGGATCCGCGAAATAAGCCAAAACAGCAAACACAACTGCTGTGCTGTTTGAGTAAACGCGGAAATCGAGCTTGTAATTGAAGTCAATTTCATCGGCTTTGGCACTGTTTGGCGCTTTAATTAATAGCGAGACAATTTGTTTCTGGCAGGCAAGTATGGGACACTTACGTGATTGCTGAGTTGAGTGTGTACAGTGGGTAGCTCAAAGTGTTTTATTCATATTTCCCCCTTGTGAGGCGTTTTCGTTTCAGATGTGGATTTCCGAAAGCAAATGCGAGAAGAAGAAGCGCTACTTATACGATTGGGTTTCCATCAGCAGAAATACCTTTGGGCTGTCAGCAAGCTCACGCTCTAAGTGTGCAAGTTCCTGTTTCAGCCGCGTCACTTCCTGTTCCCATTGTCCACGCCGGCTTAGGTGTGCACGGCAGGACGTGACAAGATTTTGCTTCGGACTGCCCTGCTCTTGGTTTCTGAGGAAAGCAGGGCAAACGCACCGTGAGCCTCAAATGGTTCTCCAAGTCCCACACCCAATTGAAAGATGAAACCATAGAACGGCCTCGCAGAATGAAAAGCTTTGACGAGATGATGCCAAGTTTAGCATGTTTCATCAAGTCCTACGTGATGCCAGTTGGTCAAGAAGCGGAAGCAGCAACGGGGTGGGGGTCGGATGTAGGGGCCAAGCAGCAGAGGGGGGATGGGAAGGGCATGAAAAGAAGGACAAGGACAGAACTGAGATCAGCCAAGAGTTTTCATAGAGATGCCATTATTACTGTCTCTCCAGCTCTGATTTCATCTGTAGAATAACCTTTTCACACTCCACAAGCCGCTCCGCCTGCTCGCTGCAGCGCTAAAACCCACACACGTGCGCACACAGACCACACACACACATACAAAAGGTGAGCGCGTCACTATATTTGTCACTGTCAAGCTCGGCCGCAACCTACAGAGGGATGTGTGCATGCGTCCATTTCGGAATCTCACTAAACCACGGACACTGTATTATTTCACCCAGATGATAAGGGCGTTTTGGTAATCGGCGGCCTCACCCCCTGCAGCTTCCGCTCGTTCCCTTGCAGGCTCAGGTAGTCCTCGTTGGCGTGAGAGTGACTCTGCCGATAGAGTCGCAGGTCACACTCCAACACGACTCTCTACATGCAGAGGAGAGCAGAGATAAAGACGGGAGGAAAAGTCGTTCCCAACATCTGTCAAAGAGTTGCTTATCGCTGCACTGAGAAGCGGGCTTTTGTTGCCCTTGGAAATGTCTTTGGTTGCATCGCTCTCCAGTTGGAGCAGAAATGGAAGATCCACAAAGGGAAACATTTTCAATCATGTGTCTGTTTTTATCAGGATTATGCATACCCTGTGTAGCCTGGAAATAAAAATCCGGTGAATTAACTTGGTTTGAACAAAATCGGTTCCACGTGAGACATCTTCCCCACTCCCCCATCTTTAATATGCTATTATGTATATTTTATATTTACATTTATTTATGTACTTTTGTCTTCTACTTTCTCCCCTTCATAATTTTGCTGCTGTAAATTGGGAATTTCTCCATTGAGAGACAAATAAGGGTTTTCGAATCTTCTCTTTTCTTTATGATGATCATGAGGCAAAATCATCTGCGCATGAACAACTGAACAAGCGGCTCGTGCCCGATAACAAACAACTTTTCAAAGATGACTTCTTAGATTTGAATTCTGTAAATATGGGCATACAAAATAACCTAAACAACAGGTGATCTTCTAAAACATCCATTTTCTTGTACCACTTCAGAGGAGTCTTTTGAAATTCAGATTTTTTTTTTGTTGAACTGTATTTCACTTTTCGCATCTATTTTGGGCCCCGACATAAGGGCATGCTGCGTCAAGCACAGTGGAAAGAATAGAAGTAGAAACGTCCAGAAGAGCTCCGAACCTCTTGGTAGGCGCCTCACAATCAAAGTCATTAGCCGGCGTAATAAAGGCGCTGAGATAGCGTCATTCTTCAGCGGCCTAACTCTTTTATAACCAACAGATTAAAGTTGATTGGATTAAAATGACATTCTTCCCGTATGACCTTGGCAGCAGCAGTTAAGTTCATCCAAATTAAATTTCTCCGTAATAAAGATGATTCATCTGTTGCCTGACGTCGTTATATTAAAAAAAAAAAAAAAAAAGAAAAAGAGTGGGTAAAAGATGATGTGGCACGTGCCAGCGCTCGCACGCTGTGCAGGTGGTGCATCATGTTTGAAGCATGGGACACAAATACGGGACACTGACAGTACATTTTCACACAAATGTACATTAAATGAGGCAGCACGGCACGGTGGACAACTGGTCAGCACCTCACAGTTACACTCACAGTGCAGAGGTGCAGGGTTCGATTGCATGCTAACCAGTTGTACGCTGTGCCGCCCTTGACAAAATAGGATGACTGACCTAAATTAAAGGGGATGGGGGTATATATTCAAACCACTGACTAAAACATAATCAATAAATCACTTGTATGAAGCCACGCGAGGCTGGCATGACCTCACCTGCCGCTTGAGTGCGTCCACTTGCCCTTGCAGGCTGCGCACAAGGCGTCTCAAGTGAGCCACCGTTTGCTGGCTCTCGATCAGCAGATTTTGACAGATCTGGAGCTCGTCCGTCAATTGGTGGAGGGCCTCTTGCGAGCTCTCCCATTGGTCCACCTTGTCCTGGTGACGCCTCTTCAGCTCCGACAGTTCTCCGGCCACGACACGGGTCGCTTGTTGGGACTCGCTGAGCTGCCAATGAGACGGCGTGAGTCGTTTGGTGAAAAACAAAACGCACGACTGAAACGACACAAGCCAATCAGGCATCTCCCACCTGTCGCTGGGAATATTGAAGCTCCTCAGCCAAATGTTTCACCTGCCCTTGCACTCGGTGAACTTTCTCCATTGCGGCGGTGTATTTGTGTTTGAAAATTGCAGCCATTTCTTTCTGCTCCTCCGCTTGCAAGCAGGCTCCTTTTAATTCCTCTCGGGCTTCTTTCAGCTGCCAACGGAGGGGATCCAGATCCACCTGCCGCTTTTCTAACTTCTTCTCTGGTGTCGCTAACTGAAAGCAAATGGATACACGCGTGCAGATGAGAACACATCTTGGTTCGGTAAAGACGTGGGAAGGTGAAATGTTGATCGAGTGGACGAGTGGGCTCAACAGATCAGACAGAGTCGCTGAAAATGCAATTAGGACATGACCCAAAGTGCCACTCTAAAGTCACCCCTGTCATCATGACAGAAGAGAACCCAGGAGGTGAAAGCGGGCTTAATCCTGGTGTAGCGCCGGGAATCCCGCCACAGCTCACCTCTCGAGGGGAGAGGTTGAGAAAGTTAAACCGGCTCGAGAACACTCATCTTGAGTTCATCCATGTTAATCCCGCTGTAATCTGGATGAGAACCTGCCGGTTTACAGCTAATGACAGCCAACTAGTTAAGATTGCAGAGGACCGTCGCGGCTTGGTTTAACCGCGGATTTGCTCGGTCCCACTTCAAATCAACCCTGGGCGCATCCTAGCAGAAAACCTGCACACGCGACGGAAGGGAGGACGGAAGACAAAGTGCACCCCTAACTTAAAAAAAATAAAATAAAAATCAGGAAACTTTTGAGTGTGCGGCTTTTGGATTTATTTAGTCAGCTAAAGGCGCACAGTGAGAGGGTGATTCAGAACACATACGATATCATGCGCAGTGTTACCATATGCCTCGAAAAGTGTGTCTTTCCACTTATTGTAACAGGTGACTGAAGTATCTCTCTCCATTGCTGGATGAAAGACCTTTTCACGGGGCTTAATGGGAAAACCCACGGATGTCCTGTGAACCATAATCAGAAAGCCGGTGCTTTCGGGAAACAAACCAGCCTCATTAAAGAAGACGGGGAAGACGTCCCCTGTGACCTTCGCAGCGCGACGTTCATGGGGGGAAAAAAAAGAATCGCAACAAAAAGTACTTTGTGCTTTTTTGTCAATTTTTTGGTCAAAAGTCAATCATCATTTGGATGCCATTTTGTCAAATGCATTTCGCCACATATAGAGAGAGAATATGTCCACACAGACAGAAGTGAGACGTGTACCTCCGAGTGGCAAGCACGTCGTTCTTCTCGGCACACGGCAGAGTTGGCCTCCGGTGTATCTTTGGCGTGAATAAGGTGAACATGCTGGCCGTTGGCGCCCTCCATCTTGGCTCTCGGATCGTCCGTCTCCTTAAAAAGCATCGCCAAAGCCTTCTCCTGGATCAGCAAGAAGTAAAACAAACAAACTGATAAATCACGACACTGGAAAACGTTCTTGTTGAAATGACTCCATTTTATTTTGCCAAGTGGTTGCACAAAATAAAATCATCTGGATCCAGATACAGGACATACTTTTGAGCAAACTACATATCAGTTCAAAAAACCATCTGGATCCAGATGGTTTTATTTTGTGCAAACTCTTGAAGAACTAAAATGGAGTGAATACAACACACCATTTTTCACAGTGTACATAAAAAAATATATACATAAATAAACAAATAAAGACTCATTTGCACTTTACTCAGCACGTGTCCACAATCTAAAACTATTTTGTGAAAACAACAACAAAATGATGAAGAGAATGCTCAGCTTTGCGGGATTCATTTAATATTATTGCGGTTGTCAGTTTCAGTGGTGGAAACTCTACATGAAGTTAGAGAGGTAATAAAATGATGCATATATTCAATCAGCAGACAGTCCGGACTTGCCAAATAAAGTGTCAACCGAATGTCTTTATCTTTCCATTTGATTTATCGTAAGAAGAAGATAAAACCTGGTCGGTCGGCCTTGACCCTTTCCTAATACGTAGTCAGTGAGCCTTTTTCTTAGAATCACCGAGTTCGCTCACAAGTCTAAGTTTTGACATCCTTTTCTTTATTGAAACTGGAAAGGGAGGAAAAGAAAAAAAACTTCCTAATTTCCCAGGGTTCGACATCGTCAAAGTAAAGGGGAACACAGCTGTGTGCACAATCTGAGATCAAATATTCATGTTATTGAACTTGTCTTTCAAGATCAGCGCAGTGGTGTGCAGAAGACAATATATGCAGTGAAAACCGGGTGTTGACGCTTCTCTTGAAACGCGGCGTGGCTGACAACTGCTTTCTTTATGTCCGTTTCCTTGATGAGCTCCCCCGATTACCCACTTTGACTGAAGGACACCGCCTGCGTGTCGAGTAAGTGTGCGTCGGTGCACGGCTGCGTCCCCTTGACTTTGCTGGGAAACATTATCCATTCTTTATTTCATCTAACTGAGTTCACTCGTCTTCATATTATCAAGATTGGTTTAAAGGTTTCTTTTCTTTCCCCCAGACAATGATTTTTTTTTTTTTTTTTTTTGTGCAGAGAAAAACTCTTACCTGGCTGACAGTTTCGGCTGTGGCTTCAGCCTTCGTCTGAGCTGTCACTACTTCCTGGTGACGTGGCTTAAAAACAGCCGACCGGGTGGGGAAACCTTGAAAATAAGGCTCCCCCACCCAGTCACGGCGGCGCTCCAACGCAATGTGTCCCAGGTGTGTGGGAGCATATGAGTCCCCTCGTCCCTGTTGATGGCGCCATCTCCACGCCTCCTTATTTCACTTCAACCCCTCACCACCAAAAAAAAAAAAAAAAAAAAAAAACTGTCTGGGGGGGAAAAAAAAACCCCTAAAACCCAATTTAGAAGTAGGCAAGATGAACGTCATGTATCCGGGGGCAGTCAAATACCTGCAGCAATGCATTGCAAACATTTTTTTTGCATTGGTGTATTTTTAAAATGCATTCTTAATCCCACCTATTTTTCAAAAGATCTTCAAGCTTTCAGAAGAAAAAGGCTAAATTGAATCGATGCAGAAATGATAAAACAGCACACATCTAAAATGGTCCAAAACTAAATCCAAACTGAATGAAATAAGTCAGCTTTAGTCCGTGTGTACATTTGACGTGTTAACGTTAAATGTAAACTTTCAAAACGATTCTTGGTGATAAATGGAGCCAACTGCTGCCTTCCATTTTCCATCTCCCGCTGGTTGGGAGTGATCCAGGGCTTGTTTTGACTAGAGTTGAGGGCTCATTTGTAACTGTCCAAGGGAATTGATGGAGTTAACTTGGCTCTTTGACCTCTCACCTTGAGAAGTCAGCAACCAGGCTCTTTGCGATACACTAAACCACCATTATTGCAAGGGGGTGGGGGTGGGGGTGGAGGGGACAACATCCATTCAGCATCATATACATCATTTTAACCGCAACTTACTTCCCGGAAACTGCAGTGTTTTGTAAAATTCTGTACAATGGCAGCCCAATAAGCAAACGAAACAATGACCGGCGCATTTACAGTCCACGGTACGTGGCCTTAGAGCAACTTAACGGCAAATCCTGACAAATCTGAGCGTCATTTACCTTTGAGGAGCTCGTGTGCCAATTCCCAACGTGAGCGTGTGATAGGCAGAATGAATGTTGATAAACAGCGGAGAACGTGTCAAAACAGACACCTTGTCAAAATGACACGCTAACTAGGTCAATCACAAAGTTTAAGGAGAAACTTTGGAGTAAGAGAGCTCCGCTTTATGCATATCTCTGCGTGTGCATGTCGACGCGCGTGATAAGCTCCTGAACGAATCGGCGGGAGGGGACCGCCGATATCGAAGGTATTTTTAAATCAATGAGCTCTTAAGTGTATCTCGGTCTCAGTGTGTTTGCACGTATACACGCACACAACACTCAGCACAGACGGAATCCCTACTGACAGGCAATGACAAGATAAAGAGAAGGAAGTAGAAGAAAAAAAAAAGGTGGGGTGGAGGACGACAGGAGGGGGTGTAATAATATTTGTACGGTTGGAGGTACGGGCGGTGACGGGGATGAAAGGGAAAAGTGTCAAGGCAAGAAAAGAAATGAGCAAAAAATAAAAATAAAAAATGGCATGAGAGTGAGAGGAAACGGTTTAAGCGATTCTGAGGAATATAATCATTGCGAGCAGGAGCGAGTCCAGCCTTGAAGACCTGAACAGAACTTCAACAGTGGCGCTTACGTGCCATCACCATGCTCCTTCTGACGCCTTTTTGAGTGTCGATTGGAATTGGAGCTCTGCAAGCTTTTGAACATGAAGTGGAAAACTCGACAGTTTTGCCATCGTGACCACTGTCTGTACAAAAAAAAACTAAAACAAATGGAATGAAGAAGGCACGGAGGATGTGAACGTGTGACGTGTTATGGAGAGATCAGAGAAACAGCAGTTTTGTGCATTAAGCAGGTCCAGATGTGGAGGAGAAACAGGATGCCTGGACTGAAGGTAATGGTCCATCTTTGGGTTAACAATCGAAACGTGAAGGGCAGGCACATTTTACTGTGCGTGCACACATGGGTACACTATGTGTGTGTATGTTTGTGTGTGTGTGGAACAGAGGGTGGGTAAGAAACGTGACAACACAGTAGCGGGTTCCAGAAAAGTATCAAGAATTTACTCTTGTTCTTTTGCAAAAGGAGGACAGAATGAAAAGGTCCAAAAAGTGCCGCAGCATAAAAATTAGAAGGATAGAAATTTCTAATTTTGTCTTTTTTTTTTTTTTTCCTCAATAAGGCTCGAAATATCATTGCATCCATTCGCCATTATGGAGCACCTTATTATCAACTCCACTTTGGAAAAAGACAATGTCTGTCAGTATTCCGTTGGAAAATTAAATATTGAACGGCACCTGTGCGACCTTCTTATCAGTCCCACTGTGACAAAAGGCAGTTGATTACATTCAAGTGAATATTAGATTTCATGTGAATCCTGAAGAACTTGGAGGTTTTTGTTTTTTTTTGTAATTTGAGGCCAAAGTCTTTTCATTGTGACATTATCAACTCCATTGAAGACCTCAAACCTTGTTAATAACTTCAAATCACCATCAACAATACACGACCAAGAACGAGAACGTCAACCCTTGTCTCGTTGAACCGTTGCGCTCAAAAGGTCAACTTACACAAGCAAAGTATGTCACATTTAAATCCAAGTCATTACCTTCTTTTGAACGGCGCAGCTGACATTTGTGCGTTCCCGCTGCAGACACGCCACCTCTCTGCCGGCGTGTTCCGGAATCTGCCTCTCTGCATCCAGGCCGACACGGGCCCGATGCCGGGTTCCGCCAATGTCGCTCACCGCGCACTCGCTGGTCTGAAACTGAGGGCGGCCACAGATAAAGACACTCGGTTCAGCTGTGTGCTTTTGAAGCGCTTCCAAAACGCTCCGAGTGCAGCCGGCAGCCAGCCGCAGAGAGGGTGATCCAAACAAGGAGAGGCACACAATGAGCGACGGAACGGTTTCGGCTACGGGAGGACAGAGATGAAAGTCTCATTCCGGCATGCTTGCCGCACGGCTGTCTGCTCCGTCTCCATAGCGGTGGAAAGGAAGATCATAAAGGCATTGTGTCAGGCCGGGGAAGCCGCCGGTTCCTGCTTTGAATGTGGACCGATAAAAGTGCAATTCAACAAATCAGAAAGTCGTGAGACGAAAGCAGTGATCGCACTGCAGCTAAACCGTGTAAAATACACAATGTATTACTGTTGCTGAAGTGGTAATCCTTCTCATTTATTAAATGCATGTTTTTCAAATTTGTCATTTCAATGTGCGACCACATTTTCGTTTTGCAGAAGAAACAGCACCAAAAGTATTTCTGAGTAAAATAATCCAGTTTCTTCTGTCTTCTCGTCGGGCACATCTCCGATGAGCTGTTTTCCCTCGCACGCAGTGTTTTTATTGTATTTTGTTTGTGTATAAAAACCATGTTTAAAAAAAAACAAAACATGTTTTTTCATAGATCACATTATTCATGTACTAGTGTCCAGTTTAGACTAACAATAAATTGCAAATGCCCCCTTTAGCTTGCATGCCATGTGCAAAGATGCTGTAAAAAATGGTAAAGGATGAGTGATCAACAGCATACAGTAAATGGTTATTCAAGTCTTAAAAAAAAATACTTGAAGGGACCAGTGTAGGTAGAAGAAATAATTTTGGGTAAGGCAGAAGAATAAAAGGGGGGAGGTAAAATTGTAAAGGCCATTCCATTTATCATGTGTATGACGCTTTAATGTTGCCATTCATTACTTCTGGTTCTCTCTGGGATGAGGGCCACAGTGGACCAAAATAAAAAGGGAAGTAGGAGGCGAGACACACTGATTTTGCAGGGGGAAAAAAAAAAAAACAAACACAAAAGAAAGAAACAAATCTACTTCATGCCTCAGTGACAGGAGCCTGATTTCTTATAGTACAACTAGCATAGCCTCTGTGGAGCTAAGATGGCGGCAAAGAGTTATTAAATATGGCGAGAGGAAGTAGGAGGAGGAGGAGGGGCAGGAGAAGGCATGATTAAGTGAAAAGGAAGTTAAAAAAAAAATGAAGAGAATTCCCAGATGCACCTGACTGGATTTCATTTAGATATATTTCATCCGAATCTGTTTCTTATTTCAGCGCAACGCACCTTCTCTTTTCGTTTCGGTGACCTACTTGGCTCTGCAGCGCGGCCAGGCTGTCTTCAAGATGCGCATTGTCTTCAAGCAGCCCTTGTGTGCGTTTCTCCTCCAGTGCCAACGTTCTCCTCAGCGAGTCCTGCGTGGCCCGTAAGGAAACGGTGGTTTCTTCCAGCTGCTTTACGTTTGCGTCGCTCTTTTTAAGCTAAAGCAAAGACAGAGAGCAATGTATGAGGGGCCCTCAGAGAGCTCATTCAGCATTGCCTCTCTCATATGTAACTAAAGGCTCTCTTACACGCTACTGAAATATTTTAGCGCACTACTGAAACATGTTGATGCAGTAGTAGAATGCTGTCACACACTACTGAAAGGCTCTCATAAATACTACTGAAACATATTTCAAAACTGTACACGAAGGCCTTCCAATATCGATTGCCGTGTTTCATTATGATGTGTGAAATGATTTCCGTTGGTCTGTGAAAGCGTTCCCACTTGTGTCGCATTTCAGTTACGTGTGTAACAGGTTAAAATGGGGGGAAAAAAAAGGTGAAAAAATGTCTTGCTCTCTTCAACAATGTAACGTTAATGCCCCAAAAAGCTTTTTCTTTTTCTTGAAAAGTGACCGGGTTTAGCTTGCTCTCTTAAATATTATTCGCAAAGGCATCCGAGGCAATTTGAAAAGCAAGAAGCCTTATCGGGCAAAGACTGCTCGAAAAACCAAACCCATCCCACCCTTGAATCCGAAAAGAAACAATAAAAACATCACCGACCGAGTGACATGGCGTGTACCGTCTGTCATGACGGAGGCATTATTGGCGGAAAGAGACAAACTATGGCGAGGAAGCAGACAGAGGCTGAACTCCTCACCCCGTGCATGCGCATGTTCGGGCCTGTGGTTCAGAACCTCCTGCCAAATCCAAAGCCCCTATTCATTAGTTCTGTGTTCAATGGGCTCTGTGTTAGATTAGCGGGGAGCCACCGCAGACAGTCAAGACACACATGCAAACACATTTACATATGCACGACATGCACATTACACACACACACACACACACACACACACACACACACACACACACACACACACACACACACACACACACACACACAGCTACTTTTATGCGCATGGCCAAAACAAAGCGAAAGAACACATGGCAGCATCAAGACGCGGTACCTTTCGGTGACCGCCTTCCTCAACATGTGCGTCATACGATTTCTTGTTATCGGCTCTTGCGGTTCTGGTCTTGGCACTGTCCCAGCCCGTCCACAGCTCCGTCAGAGCAATCTTCCTTCAGTACGGCGCTGTACATATACTGTACAGTCCATCATCATCCGACTTGCTGTAACATTGAGCTAATGGTCTTTTATGCAGTTAACTCATTTACCGCGTGGCTAATGGCTGGTAACATTATTAGAAATGAGACAGTAGATGATCCAAGGCTGAATTAAACGGACTCGTCAGCATACTCCAACCAATTTAGTCGGACGATTGGGAAATAAAATAAAATGGAAGTGGGACAGTAAAGTGTGAATTTCATTGCAGTGTCATTTTAATCAAGTGGCTAAAAGTTGTCGATTGGGATCCTAATTTTTATTTTTGATGTATATTGCATGTATCTTATGAGCACGATGTAATACAAGCGCATTCGAAATTGCAAAAACTCAAACCGATCATTTGGACGGTTGGAGCAAAAAATGATCGACTTCAACTGTTGAATGAGTGCCGCCGATGCTTCATCGCAAAAAAAGGCAAAAACAGCAATGTCAAAATAAATCAAAGTCTTCACAGCAGTGACTCTGCAAAACGGTTATATAATTGATACGTGGCTAAATCCTCGATAGGAAAGGATTAAATGTTCCCATGTGGGCTGTGGAGAATCTTAATTCGCCATCGGAGGAGTTGCGGACCTTCGTGGGAAGAATACCAGATTTGTGATTTGATTTTATATGAGTACTTAAGCTTTGGAGGTTCCTATTAGCAAGAACCCCCATTTGAGAGAGAAACCCCAATCTGATCAAGTCTCATTACTTTAGCAATCAAAATTGGCCCCCCGGGGTCCCCTCCCACCTCGCCACCTACTCAACTCATGCAGTCTCCCACAACTATCTTCACCCAGCTTGCTCCTTTTAGTCCCTTCTCCTTGATCATGTTTTTGTGCAAAGGAGGGAGCGGCTTGCGCAAATCCTTGATTGGCCGACGTCTATCTTCCATCTAGGATTACCCAAAGAAATGGAACATTTGAGGACAAAGAAATGAGAGTGGGGTGGGAAAGGGCTCGAGAGAGGGAAAGACACTTATGGGTGCAGAGTGAGAGAGAGACCGATGAGGACAGAGAGAGAGAGAGAGAGAGAGAGAGAGAGAGAGAGAGAGAGAGAGAGAGAGAGAGAGAGAGAGAGAGAGAGAGGGGGGGATATAAATGTATATA